TCTGTCTAGTGCTACTTTTCAGCCAAGTTTTTTGTCTGGTGACAGACAATAATCAGATGGCACCAGATCCAGGAAATAACAAGAGTGCTCAGGCAGTTGAAGATAGCAATCGCGCTCAGCAACGAGCTTGCAGGCTTGTTTGCACGGGCATTTTTATAGTAAGATAGAGATCCTTCCGTCAACTTTCCTCGAGGTTTCAGCTTGCTTGTTCTTCCTATCTGTGTCATCATGTTGGCATTTTGGAAAGGAACCGATAAACACAATATCCCTTGCAGCCCAAAAGATGGAGACCATCACTTTCCCTGCCGCTGACACGCTTTGGTTGTTTTGGCGGGAGAGAAACCGGGTGTTTTACTGCAAAGGCCGCTTTTTTGGTCTTTGATTCAAAGTCGTGAACCAAGCATACATTTTAAGCGACAGAACATTCAGTAGAGTCAGCCGTATTTGCTTCATAAAATGCCAATTTCACCATCGACTCAACCACCCTGGTGATCGGACGTCTTTAGTTTTGGTACTAGAAGTGCTTTCGACATTAGGTATCTGGCTAACTTTTCATATCCGCCATCCATCACCATGAATAGCACATGGTCGGGGAGAACGTGACAAAGGCCTCCAGACTACGCCATCTCCAAGACTCCCCTGTCCCTTTTGAATTCAGCCACCTACTTATGCACGGTTAGTATAGCTGAAGCGCCATTCTTTAGTGTGAAAACCGTGTGAGCAACCATATCCGTAGCTACCACATCCGGTGCTCATTTTTATCCATTACGAATTATTTGCAGTACCACATTTACACCTTACTTAAGTGATGTCCCGCATGTGGATGTGCCAACGTATGCGACGCACCGTTCCTTTGGGTGTCGCATCGAATCCGACCGACGCTACCAGTGAGCAGTTTACTAAGAAGTATGCCACACTGATAGTAGTTGTTAAAGACTGTGCCTTCTTAGGGCTCCATACATTCGGTGGATCGTACTCACACATCTAATGCAGGTTTACTTTGGAACGCGTGCAGGTAACATCAGGAGAGATTGCATTTAATGCAGTGGTTCTCGACCTGGAGATATTTACCCCCAAAGGGATACATGGAATTTTAAGGGGGGGGGCCAAATATAAGTGCTAGGATTGCGCAATTAATCATTAGCCAAACATCATTAACAACGCAATCATCTATATCAAAACATAGCTAATTATCAAATCACAATCAAGTATCCATCAGCGACCACCTGACCCCGTTTCGGCTGACATCTTTGTAGCTCATCTAGAGAACATTAAATTGTGTCACTGTACAGGCTCACTTGTACGCTCGCTATGTTGCTGACACCTATGTGGTGGTGGACGAAGCCCAGCAGGCGGAACGCATGCTCAAAACGTTTAATGAATGTCATCCAGAGATCGAGTTCACCATGGAAAGCGAAACCTCAAGAAAGTTTCACTTCTTGGATGTAGTCTTGGAAAGCAGATCAGCTGGGTCGCTTCTGAGATCATTTTATCACAAACCGAGCTGAACGGGGCAATACCTAAACTTCGACAGCTACTGCTCCATGAGCTACAAGAGGTCCGTGCTTCTTGCATTTTTTGTGCGAGCCCGCCGTATCTGTTCAGAGGAAACGATTAAGGAAGAATACAGGGTATTGCATCCACCGTGCTTGCAAATGAGTACCCTGACAACTACATTGTAAGATATGGGGAGAAAACCAGGCCGCACGAAGAGCGACCTGAAGCTTCAAAGAAGGTATTCATTGCACTGCTTTATAAAGGAGAAGAAAATGACACATTTTCCCTTATCACTTACGTCATGCCATAAAGGGATGTTCCTATACAGCTGAGCTTGTGTTGCTCCACAGAACCAAAATGCTACTACATGAATCCAATTTGGACAGGCCTCACTCTAATCTCACCGCCTCATGCGTTTACCGCTTTAACTGTGCCTGCGGTAGTCTGTACATTGGTCAGCCAGAGAGGAGATTGTCCACTCGGATTTCAGAACATGTTCCGTGGAACCTTTCTCTCAGTGGCGCAACATTACCTGCCAGCTCCGTTGCCCGGCACCTATTCGATTGTTCGATGTGCCATAATCCCCGTGAATCATTCAAGGTCATCACCAGGCAGAGCAACCCCAAGTTATTGCGTTTTTCTTAGGCCTCCGACATCTTGCGTTTGTAGCCTAACCTATGCAAACAACTTAGGTTTGTAGCCAGTCTTGCCAACGCAACTAACCATCGATTACTGGAATTGGCCTATTACTCCCAACCGTTTGAAGTTTTCACCCATTGCATCTTAGCGGCTGAAGAAAATACACGAAATATACTGCATTCAGATTAATCCAATCTGTTGACATTTTTGAAGGGAAATGGTTTTATGACCTTATTGACTAATCAGTGAATTAGACAATTTTCGGTAATAACTTATATAACCTAAACTACGAATATATGTCACCAAAGCAGTGCAGCTAAACGGCGCCTCTATTGGTTCGCTCATCCATCTTTGATTTATTTTTGGGTCAGGCAGTCGTTCGCTGGGTCGGATTACAGAGTTGATTGAACACTAAGCTAGACGCGTGTCAGCCGAACAGGTAGAGGAGCGAGCGAAGCTTTGCAAGGTAGAATGAACAAAACAGGCGATTCATGTTGAGAACTGAAAATAGATTTCCAAAGCACACAACCAGCAATATTTTCGACAAATATTGGTAGCGCGTATGCATTGATATCTGAAAAAGCCTTGTGGACACTGATCCGATTCACCATAACTTATACGTGTGGGAGTAAATTTCTGACAGTAATGACAACGAAAAGAATGGAAAGGAACTGAATAAACTTTGCTCACCGCTTATGATGTGCATTAGCCGTAACCGCAACAAGTATTTTATAAGTTGCTAGAACTAATTAATATCAACGGTCTCACTAACAAAATCAACTTGCTTTAATAAAAGTTTGCTTACAAATAAGTGCTTTGTTTAGTTAAATGATCGAAAGTAATGAAAGATAGTATTTTCTGTAATTGAGTGCCAAAATGCAATAGAAAATTAGCCACTGATTTAATGTAGACAAACTTTCGTTACTCTGTGCAGTCTCCTTTAGTGGGCCTACGAACTTTTTGTCTACACACTCATACTTGCGAACCAACGTCGATGAAATCGGTTCCTGCGAATGATTTCACTGACATTCAAACGAAGGAGCCTAACCTCTGATTCATAAGTTGCACTGCTACGAAGTTATTGCAAGATATGCTCCAATGCGAACTCCCATTTCATCCTACTCTAACGACTGTTATTTGCGCCCAAAACCTATGGCGTCTGTCTTCCTCGTACGCTGCACATGTAGGGTGGTTTTTATGAGGTACATAAGTTCACAGGACAACTTTACCAAGGAGGTAGATCGCGCACCTTTTTGAAGTAACACAATGTAAGTTTACTCCGATTTTCTCGGAGTTCGTGAGCTCTGTGTCTACCTTTTGTATTCACTCGACTAATACAGGTCATGGCACCTAACATAAATAATTTAATGCGTCTAGTCGTTTTCTGAGGACGGAGTACGTAGGTGCAGAAATGATATTAGTCGAAAGAGCGTTCCACCCCTGACACATTCGGGGATGGGAACTGGATCGTGGCGACATTCCAGCCGGCTGTACTGCGTATCCAACGTCAGCTGTGGGCCCCTCAAATTTGTGTTGCAGCTTAGTTGCAGAATTCGGTTGCAAATGCGAGTGGAGTTTTTCGATTAGGCTAGGGCAGTGTGACGATGCCTTCCAACATAAATTCGTAAAGTTTTTAGTCGTAGTTATCATGTGAGATGGGAAGATTCCTCGACATTCTTGGTTGCTCCTCGCTGAGCGACATCGAGTGCAGCTAGATCGCTGTAAACTTGACCAGGCCTTAATGGCATACTATAAAAGGGGACTACACAAATGCATTGATTATTCTATGAACGATAAGTCAAACCGTCCGTTTTCCCATTCATCTGCCCGTATTTTCCGCCACTTTGCACTTGCATTCCTGGTATGTAGATGCCACGACTCCATTCAGCATATGTGAAATTAAGGCGTTTGCAACTTTTAATTTCCTCAACTAATTCTTCCTGCTCATTATGCAGCAAGCATTCTTTGATCTAGCATTTATGGCATCAATAATTTTGCCGTGCGACCTGCATTCGCAGCAATTAATCGGACATTCGTTTTAATTAGTGCCTTTTGTTTTCTGCCCGCTCTAGCTGCAACGCGGGTGTGGCAACCCATGTCCATGTTCGATGCCCCTTTTTGTGTGCCTTAAGCTTCTTTCTGTAATAACCAGCTTTTTCACGCGTTTCGGGCCTTACTCTGTTAAGTCTCGTTCATTATTTCGGCCGTTGGCCTATAGGATTACACGCTTGTCTTGTAATCCGGAATTCCACGGTACAAATTCTCGTATTTTGCTCCCGGTCTTTTGGTAGACCGAGCCCACGCGTGACTACTGGCGTTCGCATGGCAGCGAAATCTCGGTACGATGTGCCGGCGTATTGCTAATACCTTTTTCCATACGAATCGATGCAATCGCGGGGCTGCATCAGAGTGTTTTCACAGTCTCGAGGTCATTACCATGGTGTCATCTTTGCGTTTCTCTTCGATTCGCTAGCCCCTGACTGATTGCCGAAAGTAAACACAGGAGACGCTTGCTTTGTTTCAATTCTCGAGGCAGGACGATTTCCGCGCATTGTCAGGTTACCTGAATTGAAGTACACCTTTTAACTTCCCTAAGCTATTAGTACGGCTTTTATTTTATCTTTCATTCGAAGCCAGCCATTCCCCTATCTGCTCGGCATGATCTATGAGTCCTGTTACCACACACACACACACACGCACAGATGACGGTAGACGTACGGTATTGACTGTGCACCATTAAGTGGGCGAGGCATGTATCGATCGTACAGGCACCGTTTTGTAAATCGCACATGTGGGCAACCCCCGTGAAATGGTGCTTTATAAACTAGGCCATTTCGTTTCGTTCTTCTATTTTTTGTCCCTGATTCACATTCAAATGTGGATTTCGCAGATCGTTGACAAGCGTGCCACACAGTAAGTGACGGTGTATCCATAGTTTATTAACATCCCTGGCAAGTATATGTTGGCCTATTCTCGCCTGTAACCTGATTCCTTTCTTGAAGCTTTCCATCCACTTATATTGTTTTAAACTCCATCGCGCTTTCCGTATATCTCTAAAGAGTCTTTGGTATCTTTTTCTGCCGCAATGGTGTAGTCTGTACTTAATGTGGCCGGTCGGATTATATTGCGCTAGTATTCTGATGTTGGGACTTCTTCTTGAAGCGATTATGTCTTCTATTGTATCAAAACCTTAACTATTTCTCCACTCGTAGGGATGGAACGTCTACCTTGTAACTCAAAAGTCACCGGTTCCAGTCTGCATAGGTGCGGGGGACTTCGCAGTGTCACTATTCGACACGTGACTAGTGTCGGTCACGTGGCGACCAAACATCGGTACGGCGTACCATCCCACTGCTCATGCCCCCTTCCCGTTCCTTCTCTGATTTGGAGTCGTATGGCTTTTTTACAGTAATATTAGCATCGGAACCCTCATTGTATCTACCCCTTCCAGCTTTCGATGGGTTGGTGTGCGATCATTATTGACCCCATTCATCTCAACATCGCTATCCCCCCCTGTCGTTTACCTTTACCTAAAACCTACTGTCATCCAGTGGTGGCAGTCTCCCTTTGTTGTCTGTTTTGACTCGTCGACAGTTTATCTTTTTTCGTTCCTTGCCTATTTTCCATCTCTTCGACGCATCTATCAGAATGACCAACGATGTCGCCGGTGAAGCACAGGCTTGTAACAATTTGGGCAACACACTGAAAATGCTCGGACGATTCGATGAGGCGATAATGTGCTTCAATCGCCAACTGGATTTAGCCAAACAAATGGGAAACCAAGTGAGTTCATGCTACTTTTGGTTGCTTCTGGATACCTTTACGCTTTTGCCTTCTTATCTATCGGCGTGTAATTGCTTGGTTTTTCAAATTCTTACAACCGGTTGTCGATAACTCAACCATTCACTTGACCTCCTGGGAGGCAAGCTGATTTACGATCTGGGCGCGTTTTAAGCCAATTCCCAATCTGTCGCATCGATAATTCAGTTCGTAACTATGAGTAATTTATTCAGCTTGTTCGTTATTGTTTTCCGATTGGCTCTTGTTTTGGGTTATGTAAAGATCATACATACTATGACCTCCATCTTCTCGAATTCAAATGTCTTGCAATAGGAAACTTTTGCCAAACCAACCGGATTTTTCGATTTTTTGGACGTGTTTACTTTATACGATCCCATTTTGCTCGTTATCGTCACTCGCATTTGCAAAGCTGCGCGGGAGATTTCCTCATCACTGTTCCCGATCCTTCCACTCCTTAGTGTGTACGCTACTGTAACGGAGCCACCCACAGTCGGTTTACAACTCTCTACAAAATGTGCTTAGGCCAATTCATCAAGCTATTTAGACGAACACTCTCACTAGCGAAGAATTTTCTTCGGCAGTTGAAGTGGATTCAGGAATTGTAGAACGAATTCATTCATTCTCTAGTCCTCATGTGCCTTTGGAGAAGGTGGGAGCCTCCTTTCACTTGTAATCTGTGACTCCTATTTTCTTCTCTGATGCCATCAACTCATAATTTGTTCACTTGTCGATAGACTGGGTATACTGCGTGGACAAAAGCCATTCCGAACTGTGACACAGACATCTCAAACGTGCTGCGCAGTTTGTGGACACCGTAATTATTCTTCTGAGTTCACTGGGTCTTCAGTACGATAATGGGTTGTTTTTAAGATTTTTACATACTAGTTAACCATAGCGAATTTTGTCCTCCTCTTCAGTAGCGAAACTTGTCCCCATTAATCTGGGGATTTGGTGTGTCTTTGTGTCTTTCAACTTCAGTGTCTATGCGTATTGTTTGTGCCAGCAATTTTTCAACTTGATTTACTGCGTGTTGAGTACTGACCTTAGGCTGTTACGTTGGCTTGTCAGCTCAGCGAACAAGACTGGTTCGAAGAGAGCAGTCGCTGACACGTTATAGCATTAAATGAAGTATATGCATCGACGCAGTTGGTCCGTCTATCCCACAAGCCTTATGCCTACTCTACCTCCCATGGTTCGACACTTGTTCCACATTCCTCACAGCCGATACCAGTGACGTCTTTGTATCGTAACCAGAGTACCTGTTTGTGCGAGACTAATTTATCCTTTGAACAAGTCTGCTTACGTCGCTCGGTGGCAGAATTCGTGAGGAATCCACCTCACCGATGCCTACCTTGCACTATATCCAGCTACTTTTGATTGTGTGCGATCTTGGTGGGGCGTAGTTATATACATTTTGGTCTTCGGTTTAAGGTGTTCCAACTCATTCGCTGAATTCACACTCATTGGTTGTTATTGGGCTCCTCATTCATACTTCTTTGTATGGCAGCTGAGTGTCAGTGTATAGAAGGCTATTGCACTGATGATGATATTACTTATGCTCATCGGTAGCATTGGGTTAAGCGTACCTGCTGCTCACTCTTGAGGAGCTGATGGCACTAAAAAGGGGGATAGATTATCTATCGGTTGTCCCACCTATTTGACCACCTGACAGCGCTTTGCAGAATTGGGCACCGTTTTTGCGGTGGAATGTGGTGTGTGTGTGTTGTCGATGACCCCGCTTAACACTTAGTCCAGGGCAGTGGTTTCTCACTTCACGTTAGCCCAATGGCGACACAACAACAACAGCAGCAGTAGCAACAACAACAACTATTACTGCTACCACTACTATGTTGCACTTTAGCTGAAGATAAGAAACACACTTCAATCAATGGGCCGCAATACGAAGAAAAAGATAATGCATATGGCAAGGCGAGCTACAGAACATTGCAGAATACAATAAATAAAACCATCTTACGCATCAGGTGTGTGAACATGGTTAAAGGGAGAAGCTAGAGAGGAGGGAATAAACAAAGCAACTCACAACACGAACGCTATTGGGGCCGGCTCTTCACCATATCAACAGTTGTATCCAAGCAGACTTGTTCATCCTCATTAGGACCCCAGCCTGGCAACTTCGAGGTGAGGGATTTCACTCCTCATTTGTTCATTTGTTCTCCAAGCTTGGCGGTTTGGTTGAAAACGTTTCACCACCATGCGAGGTGGCATCCTCAGTGCAAGGAGATGCGGCGTGCTATCTCAGCAAGATTTCACTCCTTTTGACTAAGTCATCACTTGGCCTTTTCTTTCATCCACACCCCGGTCGCGCAAACAACGCACATCACGGGAGTCGGTGTGCTGGCATACGAAACACGTGGCTTAGCCATCGGAACCTGGTGCTTGATGTAACGGTCCTAAGCGGTTCACTCGCTTTTCCTACACCAAATACACGACGCCTAATAGCTGTGCTCAACCAGGTGCGGGAAACTGTTTTCAGGCTGATGGTTCTCGATCATTATCTTTACATTCTACAAGTCCCTGACATCCGCACAATATTCATTTGAATGCTATCTTTAATGCGTCGACTACAGACCGCTCTTGAACATCACTTCAAGATCAACCGTTGACGCATCAAACAGTATTGTTTTTGGCGCTGAGTGCTATCCCATTTGAGCACAGATTCGCTATTCGGAGAAGCGCTCCATATATCGCATGTGCATATCTCGGCTGTTTTGAATTTGACCAAGGAAGACAACGAAGGCACAACCTTTGTGTGATTGAAGTAGGATACTCGCAGTTACGTATGTAATTCAGTCGCGTTGCCAAGGTTGTTACTCTTGGCTCGCGGGCGTAAGATGACCTTGTGACTTTAGCCTTCGAAACTTACATTTTGATGACGATTGTGGGATGAAAAATGCCGAGTTAGTTGATGGCGGATAGATTCTACGTGGTAGTTTGACTGTTTACAATCAGGGGTTGGTATGGTGCTTATAAAACAGTCAACAGATCCACGCGAAGGAGAGATGCTGCATCACTGCGCTTGAGAGCTAGAGACTAGATGACCAGGTTGAGGACTGTTTTGCAATTTCACTGGAAGCTCTTTGAACCGACAAACTTGGGTGATAAATGCGTGATTCAAATGTTCTCGGCATATTCGCATTTATTAATGACTAATGAGAGGAGCAATCCGTTCGTAACGTTGCGAATTCTAGGACGAACACAAGATCGCTCATTCTAACTCTCCAGGATTGGACTCTAGAACTGAGTTTCGCACTCGCATAGTGTTATCCAGTGAGTCAGTGTGACCTTTTGGTGCTGACTGGACACGTCGGACGCTTCTTCTTCATGTCAAAATATGCTTACTCAGAAGATCCTAGCTGGACTGACTCCGTCCATGAATAGGAGTTCGCGTTGCACAGCATGTTTTCTCATCTATCCTTATTCACTTGGACGACAGTCCTATCAGTTTTCCGGAGGCTTTCTTTGGCTTCCAGGCATCCTGCACTTATTTGGATGCAAAGTTCTGATCAAGTCATCCTGCTCTGTATTCTGCATCGAAAGCAACTCTTCACAACTACACTCATTCAGACAGCCACTACAAGCTCGAAAAAGCACCCTTTTGCGTCACTGTGTAGGACTGTTGGGCCATGGTGGACAAGCAGCAACAGCATTCAGAGTGGTGCAATTTCGAGCTAACGCAACGCCCATTTTCTACTGCAACGCACGTTTCAAACATGCCAAGGGTAGGGTTGCTTCCTTGAGTTGCTGCTTCTCTTGCTGTGCACTGACTGTCTCAGGACATTCTGAGGTAGCTTTGGCAATATCGTCAACAGATGTCACTGCGAATCAACGGTCGTTTGTCCCATGCCACCTTACCCAAAGCAAGTTGCCCTTGATTCTGATTTCTAATTCTGATTATTTATTCATCAACGCTTGTTCCTGAGCATTCAGTGACGTGCGTTATACCTCGTTCTCCCTTCATTTCGCCGACGATTTTTGCATCGCGTCCTGAATACTGTATTGTGGAGGAAAGTAGATATTTAAATCTTCATCGGAATGTAATCAAAACTGTCAAAAAGTATCAGTCACCTGTTGATGCCGTCAAAGTTGACGCACCTCTTCAACACCGCAAATCAGACCATCGAGTTTGGTATGCGCGGTTCATGTCGAACTCGGTACCGACACCTAGTCGTTTGGAGACATTACAGCGAAGTGCACCGCCAACGCGGACGCACGCTTAATGCTGGAGGTTAGCTGCTGTCTGTCCGAGCCTTCTAGCACCGATAGACCACCTGTTGGCTTCAGGCGCCACTTTACGTAAGCAAAGCTTCTCTTCGAAATGCCTGCGCTTGTTCGTTTTGGGACTGTTGCAAATATTTCGCTGCCTCTTATACGTCTCGTACTCATTGGAAGAATCGGACACGAAGAAGTTGTCCCACAATTTGCGCAAATGCCGAGCCATTTTGCCATACTCTTTATCGAACCAGGGTGGCTTGACTGGTCCAACTTTCTAACAATTCAGTGGTACAAACCGCAAGCACGGTAATGTCGCTCCTATCCTGATAACAGTCCAACAGTCTTCCACATATACAACTTTCTGTAGAGACCGATCCATTTGGCTCCCGACTCGAGTTAGGCCGCGGAAATAAGTTTTTCCATAGTTATAAGCTGGCTCCAACGGACATGAGTGCGGTAGAGTTAGATCCATACTGAATGTGGGCGCTGAGTAGTCGCTTGCTGCTAAAGAGCTCTACGATTTTTACGTCATACACGTTTATAGCTTGTTAACATCAACCCTGGACACAACGAAGTTATGTGCGGCATAATACGTGTCGGGTGGCGTATGTGTTGCTCTGCTCCACTTTTAAATACTAAGTCCACATACTTTGCTTCGACGTCACAATGTTCGGACATGAGTTCAACTTCAGGCCAGCCTACTCTGGGATAATTGGAAACACCCGTGAATAGAAAATGAATGCGACCCA